AATATTTCTGAACAGAAAACGTTGGAAAACCGGGAGAGTTCGAGCGAAGCCAGCTCGAACGTTAAAATTAACGCAAGCCCGTAAAACTGGCGACTCCGTAAAAGCCCGTCGCGACCCCTCTAATAAAAAGCGCAGCGTTCGCGGGTTTATAGATTCCGGCGGATAATAAAAAGCTTCGCAGGCTTTCGTGTTCAGCGTTCAAACGATTGTTGCAATGCGAGAACCGTCTGGACGTTCGCAACGACGGCGACAACGACGGCGTTTCCGTCGATTCCAGGCCCGCGAAAATTGAACCGTAAGCGGTAAAACGCGGAAGACTTCGACGCGTCGTAAACGCGAGCTTCTCTCGCGATCGAACGCTTCCGCGATATCATCGGATCCGATCGAAACGAAGCAACGACGATCGTTTGGTCTCGCGAGAGACGGGCGACACGTCGCTCGGTTTTATTTGCCCCGGATCCTGGAACGTTAAAACTGAATTTTTTAGCGGTTACATTTTTTACGCGTTGCAGAAACTCGTCCGGCGTTTTTAACGACGGCGATGTTACGGTCGGTAAATTGTTTTAGTGGGCTCGGGAACGCGGGATCGCAGGATCTCCTAATGAGAACGGAGACACTTGTGTTGAACGTCGAAAATGTAACGCTGCAAGTTTTTTCTTTGCAATGGTTCAACATTAAATCGAATGCCGGCACACGGTGCGTTTAAATTGCCCTCTTCCAGTGGCAAACTGTCGACAAAGAAGTTTGAAGCGGCGTAGTCGTGAAAAGTTGAAAGGAATTTTTATGTTAGAGTTTCCTTCCAAGATCAGGATTTCATCGCGCATGATGTGTTCAAAGTTTCTACGCGATCGGCGCCAACTCCGGCCGATTATCTAGAATTATCTTCGCCGCTGATAAAATCTAATTCGAGTCCCGGGGCGACCGCTGTCGTTTTTCCGTCCTGCCCTCGCCCTGGTCGTCGTCGCGCAATTAAAACGCGAACGATCGGAGCGGCCGGTCGAAAACGAGCAGATAGGATCGCAGCCTAGGCTTTGGTTTCTCGGTTCGTGACTCGAGGCTGAGGCCACGTGGCCCGGCCGTCGTATCCTACGACCTACGACCTTGTCCCTCCGGGGATCGAGGATCGATCGAAACACACCGGCCGCGTCGCGTCGGATTCGACGCGAAACTCGAGACCCGACCGACGCTTTCTGTGCTACAAATTGTTCTGTGAAGTTTCACCGATACTGTCTGAACGTATGAAAAGTTTCGTAACCTTGGAACGAGTCGTTCGACTGCTAAAAATGTGCAAAGGAAGCGAATCCGATAAAAGCTTCGAATTCCTTGGACATCGGAGGTTCTCGTCCATTTGGAGAGTGCTACAGCTTCTCCTCCAGCTTTTCCAAGATTTCAGAACCGAAGGCGAGTAAATCGAGAAGCGCAGCATACGACGTTTTTTTCGGAAGCGAACGGTTCGAAGGAATTTGTCCGGCGACTGAGGGGTCGCCGGTTGCGACACGGCGCGGTGCGACAATGAAAGATTAAAGCAACGGGTTGCTCAACGGGAAGACGCCTGCCAGAACAAGGTTCCGCCGAAATCATCGTCGTATCCGGAAACAAGACGGCATCGTTGCGGTGTCGAAACGGGGAGGACAGCCAGCCAAGACGAACAGCGTCGAGAAAAATGAAACGAAGAGCGTGCCTCACTGCGAATTAAACGGAGCGAGATAAATCGCACGGTGGCGGCTAAGCTAGTGGTTTCTTTCCCCTTGCCTTTTACGGTGCGACGGCGCGACGTTACGAAGAGACGCCCTGCCCTGGCAAACGCGTTCAGACATGCGTTAAATGTCCTGGGGCCTCGAGACAATGGGTCGGGCCAACAACGCCGAAATGCCTGGGTTTATGGCCGCTCGTCAAAATACCTTCCCGAAACCTACCAAGTCTTGGGACAAGATCGAAATAGGATTGGTCGCCCGAAAAGCTCCAACGATTTTGTCGGTGGCTCGTCGAAAGTTTCGAGTCGCTCGATCTAAGTATCGACCTCGGTCGATCTAATGGACCTCGAATGGCAGACACTCGGTTCGCCCAGATATTCCATTATTCCGTTTCTGCTGGAAACGGATGCTCTAACTCCGTTGGAATCGCGGCTGTGTAGAGGCAACCGGTGTTTCCATCAGCTTCAACGTGAGTTGTTAATTATCCTATTAGTCGGTAACGAGACAAAGTCGAGCCCTCGCGGTTAATGCAGCACGCTCGTCGCGGCGCGACTCCGCTCCGACCGTGTTAACAACGCCTAGGAGCTGGTATCGCGTCCCGCTCGAATTACACACGGTTTTCGCGAAGCAAATAGCAGTATCGGTCATCACGAAGGAGATTACCGAGCATCGTTGCGATCTTCGATCGAAAGCCGCTCCGATTACGATTCGAATCGTAACCGCACCGTCGTGCAAACGAGTCTCGTAAACGATTTGTCGCACAGATGCATTTGCGATGCTACGTAACATGCATTGGCAGGTAGACGCAAAGAAATCAAGCTTGGTCGACAGAGTTTATTGCGATCAAAGCGGGATTCCGGTTTGTTACTAATCGAGAGAAAAAGATCGAAGATCGTTGTCGCTGCAACGCGCGGCGCAATTAACGTTCGGTGGGAGTTGCAGCAAAACTTTCGATTCCCGCGGGCATTTTCTGAATAATTCACGCGGCGCGAGCCCTTTGCCAACAATTTTCTAGGAAGTGCATCGAGTTAACGCTCCCGGCGGGAATCGATGAATTCGAAGGAGAAGAAGAACTACAAGAAGAAGAAGAGAAGGAGGAGAGGGAGGAAGCATTGGAAATCGTTCGCGAATTCTAACGAGTCTACAACGAGCAGAGAATCTCGCTGCGAAATTAATAAATCGTTGGAGCGAGAAACAAGTCTCCTTTTCAAGGGGCGGGATCGGAGAACAGGGTCGCGAGAGGAGGGCGCCTTTAAGATCGCTCCTCGACAATTTTACCCGCCTTGTCTTCCCAATTGTCTCGACGTTGTTCGCGATCGCCCTCGGAGCGAGCTACGAGGACAGACGAATTTCCTGCATCGATTCGGAAACGACCGGCCTTGTACGCCGCTGTTACGGAATACGGTGTTCTCTTGGTAACGCGAAAATATAAGAAAATCATGAAGCCGACATCGAACGCGATTAATTCAGGAGCATCCTTGGACACGTGGTCCGAGGAGGAGCGAGAGGAGCCGGAGCGTAGAAATAAAAAGGGAAAACAAAGACCGTTCCCGTGAACGCTCTCATGGATTTATGTGCGCGAGGAGGTCGGCGGGCCGGCAGGTTTGCACAAGTGCATTAGCGGAGGGTCACCGAGTAAAAAGGAGCGAAGAAAGAGCGAGATGGGGAGAGAGAGAGGGAAAGAGAGAGAGAGAGAGAGAGAGAGATCAGCGAAACGTCCCTCTGGGGACGCGACGAAGAAAGGGAAGCAGGCGGAAGGTCGAGTTGAAGGGAGAAAATGGAAAGGGGCTGCTGGGAATGCTGACTCTGTGGAAAGAAGCGGGAACCGGTGGGCGAGAAACTGCGAAAAGGAGGGAGGGAGAGAGAGGGAGAGAGAGAGAGAGAGAGAGAGAGAGAGAGAGAGAGAAGAACAGAGAAATAAGGGTCAGGAAGCAGCTAGGAGGGATTGAAAGGAAAAACTGTAGGGAAAGGAGTAAATTGGGGGTCGGGGAGAGAAAAGAAACACGGGGAAAGGGTTTCGAGGATGAAAGGAGAGGCCGGGCGTGCAAAGAAAGTGGCCGTCGAGAGAAACGCGCTCGCTGTCGCAGCGATGGCTACGAACCGCGCTTGAACATCTACGGATTACGAGTCGATCGCGCGTCGATTCTCCCGTTTCCGGTCGACGACGGAACTAACTAAGGCCGAGCAGCCGAGACAACGAGCGCGGATCGATGTTTATTCGATCGAAATTTAGTCGCGGGTCGAGAAAAAGGCGATCTTGTTCGACACCCCCCTACAAAGACGCGAATCGACCGGTCTTTAGCTGGATTGAAAGCGTTAAAGCGTCCCTCGGCCTCGACTGTCCATCGGGCCGGGGGTTTAAGGCCGGTCCACGCGAGCGGAATCGATCTCTCGCTCGTCCCTTATTGGATCAGACGAAACGAGCCGGTCGACTGTGCATCCGTCAACACGACGGCGCCGCGACGCGCTGCGACGCGGCTCGTTTCACGGTGACGACGCGACGCGATGCGACGTCAACGTCGACGTCGGCGTCGTCGACGACGACAACGCGTCGATATCTACCTTTCTGCCGCGAGGAACCGCTCATGTAAACGCACACCGAAGGCGACGAATCGGTACTCCTCATCCTCGCTACACAAGTGGAAACTGTGTCAAGAGCTTTTCAGATTTTTCGCTCCAACGTGTCGCGATGATATAATACGGTCCGCCCTGCCGACGGCTACAAGGAAAATTCATTCGCGCAACCCTTTCTTCCGCGCGTATCGTCGCTACCACGTTGTTTCTACTTCTGCGCGGCGCGGCGGGGAAAACAATCATGGTTGTGTCAAGGTTCGACTTGTTCTCGGACCAACTCGAACCGCTTCGAGCCACTTGGAACCTACTAGCTACCCTCTGGAACGTATCTTGAATTTCCCAAGCGAGCTAGCAAACTACGATTCCACGCGACGAGATCGCGGCTTCTATTGTTCGGAGACGAAGTAAAATTGTTCTCGAAACAAAGGGCAAATTGCCCGGTTAAGCAAAAACGATAAATCTAAAGAACAAAGAAATAAAATAAAGGACTGTCCCGTGAAATAGAGGACACGCGATCACAAAATGATATGGATCTAGAATTTGAAGTAACGCGGAATTATGTAATTCTGAAACAGCGTAATGCTGCAAGCATTTGGAAATAGATTCGTATAAAATGACTTTTAGAGCAGACTTCGACAAAAAGTTCGTCCGAAATAGCATCGTTGCATGCGCGTGTAGCATTAGGTGGTCGAGTCTCCCTGTTAAAAAATGAAAGATATCTGGTGAACTCACCGGTGACTGGAGCTTCTATGTCTATCATTGTCTTCTCCGAGCGCAGCAGGGCGGCTCCATCGTTCACTATACGAAGGGCCGCCGCCTCGTCGATCCTACCTTCGAGGATAAAGTGTTGTTTGAGCACCTCCGGCCGCGGCCGATTCGATTCCGGGTCGAACACTTCTGCCACTGTCAATTTGTGGGATGGCGGGAAGGAGGCATCTGTTGACAGAGAAAGTTAATATAGTCGCGGTTCCAACTTTCTTCTTCAGCGATTCAACTTCCCAAAACATTCTTATACCGGCAACATCCATACATTTCCCATACTTTTGAAAACTTCTTTTTAACATTTAAGACCATCTATTCGATGACAAAGTTATATCTAATCGATAACGAGACGATCTATTTAACAGAGACTAAGATTATTCATCGAATCGAGAGAACCTGTCATTGCGGCCGACGATAGGCAAAACTGCCGACTGCGCCTCGATAGCCTAATCGATCGCGGAACCTGCCTCGAGGACCAGCCTGGAACAGCCAAGATCCGAGAGCCTACTCGAGGTTCGCGAATCGGCGCGAATCGGCGCAATTAAAAGCGAGTTCGGCAAATATTGATCGAGCGGGTTGCCCGCGGCCAGCCCGCAAAGTTATCGCGAGTCGTCGTCGTCTCCTATCATCCTCCGATTACACGTACGTTTGCGCACGCTGTTTGCCTCCTAGCATGATTAACAATCTCTCTCCCTCCCGCTCCGACTCTCGGATAAGTCCCGAGGTCGCGATCTCCTCCCGAAACCGAGTATCGATTACCTGACTGACCCCTTTCCGGGATTTCGATCATCTCCCTGGTCCACTTGTTCCCGCACCTGACGTATCTAGGCATTAGCATTCGCGTGGGTTTCGTCACCGTGAACGACAACGGGCCAAACTTGTCCTCTTTAAGCTCGGCAGAATCCGTGGAATTCGCGCAATCTGTGAAAACGTCGTCGTCCAGGGCGCTGGAGTCGGAACCGTCGTTTCCCGCGTCCCCGAACCCCTTCGTCTCTAGATCCGGCCTCGGCTTCATCATGATGATATAATTATTGTTGTTGACCTCGGGCTCCTCGTGGTACAGGTACGCTCTCGCGCCTTGCTCGTCGTCCTCCTCCGGCGAGAACTGCATGCCGAAACGCCTCTGCAGCATGTGCTTCAGCCTCACGATCCTGCTGCTGTACGGGTTCTCCATATACTCGGTGAACGAGGACTCCGCGATCGATCGTTGATCGGGATTCGTGGAGCACGATACTTGGCCAAGATTCGTGGAGCCCGATGCTTGGCCAAGATTCGTGGAGCCCGATGCTTGGCCTAGGTATCCGGAGCCCGATGCTTCGCCAAGCTTCTCGGGAGATTCTGCCTTGGCCGGCGTGGTGGCGGGAGTCCTGGGCTTCCTCGGTGTCCCGGACACGTTCATCATCTCCAGCGTTTTCATAAGCTCCTGCGTGTTCGGAGTGACCTGATCATCGTCCAAGGAGTCCACTAGCTCGAACGAGTCGGAGAAGCTGTTCTCGGCCATCGCGAATTAGCTTAATCGCGATCGAACGATGGAAGAAACTGTTCCGCCCGGTGGTCGATAGAAGTTATTCGTTCGATGAATCGGATTATTCCGATGCGGAGATACTTATCGTGAATTGAAATTGATTGGAAATTTCTTTCTCGGAGTTGAACGCGAGTAGACGAAGATGGCGACGAGAGACTAATGGCGACCAGCCGTTTCGCAGGTTCGAACGTGCCGTTTGACGATCAAGCCTCGTTCGCAATGACAACAGATCGAACCAATCGCGGCTATTGTTCGTCGACGACTCGTCCTGCCACGGTGGAAAGTCCCTAGGCCCGACCAAACGATACTTCAGAGGCCTTTGCAAGGAAATTTTAAGTTGCAGAGATCGATGCGGGATCCAAGGGATCGAATTCCAGGTAAATAAAGGGTTAGAAACGACGTCCTGTAACAGCGAAACTCTCGACTAATCGTGCAAGTAAAATAACCTCGAAAGAAACCCGTTCCTGTCGAATTTCAAACAAAAAGACGCGACGCGTTTCCGAATAGAACACGGTTCGCATTAACAAGTTCTTTCGCAGGAATTCCCGGCTTCGATGCATAATCTATTATAATTGCTCGCGAGTGCAAGGTGTCGGAAACGATTAACGCCGAGGAGAAACAGAAATGGAAGAAACGAGAGCGAGAGAGAAGGAAGCAGAGAGATGGCAAACGGTGCTGCGAGGCGCGACGACAATTACGGCGGACGAAGGCATCGCGAACAGCTGATAAATTCAGCGCAGATGCGCCGTGTATTATAAACAAGTGCGCGAATGGTCGGCGCGTAACACAAGCGACGATTATTTTCTATCTCGCCGACCTATTATATCCGCCGCAGCCGCCGCCTCCGGACAAATTAGCTCGCGTTCCAGGATGCTCGCACGTTCCTCTCGCGAAATTTTTCATCGGTACGTGCACGCGATCGGAAAGACAACGTTCTCTGCTTTCACCCGTTTCTCCGTCCAACCGATATCCTACATTCCTTCCTATTCCCGCGTCGCTCCGATCCAATTTACGCGACGCCGTTAATGCGATTACCGGCGAATATCGACGTCAAAAATTCTCACAATATCAAATGGAAACTTGGATTACTATAGGAAATAATAGTTGAACTCTCTTTTGCAGCCTTTTATGGCAAACTCGAATAGGCTAAATATGAAGAGTAGAGACATCCGAAGATGTCGTTTTACAGTGAGGAAATTAATTTATACTTATCAATTTATATAGGAAGAACGTTCTCGTTCGTAACATCTTTGCAGCTGTTCATTTAGTTTCAACTGCGAGAGAACGTAAGTACAGTGTCGCCAACATCCGAATTGTCTCATTCGATCCCGGCCAGTCCGCAGGTTCGATTAACTTCGAAATACTAGCTGCGACCCGATGGGATCGTGTCTGGAATCGATGCGGTTGGGATGGTCGGGATTTAGGTGACCGATTCGGCCGATCTGTTTCGCAGGTTCTTGAACAGAAGGTTCGATAATCGAGAGAGGCTGACCTCGAACGAATAGCGGCTTTACCCGGTCCCGTCACCGTCCCGTCCGCTCCGTTAACGTATGCGTGAGGTCAGAGGTCAGGCGACACAGTGGGACCGTTTCAGTTATCGAAAAGCTGCTTCGCTGTATTTTTCATCGAACCCGTCGAATTTCGGATCGGATCGATTGCCGCGAATCGGCAGGATATTCTGGTCGCCGGATCGAAATTTTCTGCGGCCGGCGTTCCGTTAATAGAGCCGTGGTTCCAATCATGGAACGGAAAGAGCGTTCCGGGGCTAATCATAGAAATTGCGGTACGAACACGGTGTATTCGAAATCCTCGGGCCGCGATAGAAATATTCGGGGAGCCCTGCTAATTTTAGGGGAGCGCGATCTTCTTTAAGAATAATAATCGTCGGCGATCGGTTATTCCGGAGATTTCTACAAATTCATTCCTGCTTTCGTTCCAAGAGAAATATTTAGCACGCTCGCGAAGAGAAATCTCCGCGTTTGGAGGTCGCTAATCAGACAGATTGTCGCATGTTATATAGTTCGCGTATAAATAATAGATTTTTCAAACAAGAATTTATTTAAATCTCCTTTCGTGCGCCACAGACTAAAATTAGTTCATAATATAACACATAAAAGGATAACAATATTAATTAAACACGCTTCGTAAAATTAACAACTCAATCGTTATGCTACCAATCGTGGGTTTTCTACACCGTAAGAGATCTTAATCGTAAAAGAAAATCGTTCTATCGTTTATATCTACGATTTATCAGAATTAATCCAAGATTAATCAGAATTTCGCCGACGGATCTCGAGAAAAATAATTGAACGCGAATGAATTATTTACAGAGACGTTTACAAAGGGGAGAAGCGATCAACGGTACGAAGAGCAAGATCAATCGATCGATAAAATTGGTCCTCCGACAGAATCGTTTCGGTAAAAACACAAAAAGTAGATCCAAGAATCTAAAAACTTGATGATCCCGAGGTAAAATGATCTCTCTACCGTTGCTCGCTCATCCCAGACCTCTGGTCCGTCGAGACGAGTCGAGATTCGCAGCCTGAACGAGCTCGCGATTAGAAAACTTAGAGTATCGTGCTTCGAATACGACTTACAATGCCCAGGGAAACTTAAACCTAATCGAATCGACGGCGAACCCTGATGCAACAAGTTTAACACGGTTCTGGCCACCTCCCCCGATTTCGCGCGACGATACGGATCGCGAGCAGCGATCGGAAACTCCCTGCGCTCTCCAAAATGTCCGCACGAGGTTCGCGAAAGGGTTCTCTTCTCGCGACGAGATCGGCGTCCGACCGAACCGAATTCGAGTCGATCTCCGCCGACGAAGAGAACGCTCCTCGATTGCCACGCCGCCCTTAAACCTACGATGAAAGCACGAAAACGATTGCTCCCGTTGATAGATCGTTGCAACTTTCGCTGTACGTCGCGATGAACGATCGCGGAGACGCTCGAAACGGCACCGATCGTTTCAGAGAGGATCGAGAGATCCGGGTGACGGTGGAAATAAATCGGCGCGGAGCAACGAGGGACGCGAAACGATCGGAAGATCGAACGAAACCGGCCTGACCATTGCGGATCCTCCCCGAAAATTGGTCGATTTCGTGCAGGGTCGCTGGGTTTCGCGATCTCGGATCAATCCGCGTCGCCGGTGCTCCTCGAAGCATCGAAAGCAGCCCCGATCGCCAAGAACGATCGATCGAATCCTCGGTGGTCGCCAGTGATCCCTCGAATCGCCCCAGTTCCTTCTTCCCTCGCCTCGATGCCACGATCCACGACTCTAGATCATTCGCCGTCCATCTTGTGTCTACGAGCAGAGCCAGTATTTTTTATTTGTTCTTCTACATCGGACAAGAGAATCTCGGATTCGGTGTTATTTTTTTCTGGAAAAACTGTTCGAGATGTGAAGCTAGATGCCTCGAGATGCGAATAGACATTTTTAAGCTACAAGGAAACTGGATTATTTAGACAAATAAAGTCACCGACTCACGATGCCTGCTTTTTTAGCGCTCGAAGGAACATTTACATAGATCGTCGAACAATGGAACGAAGGAAAAGGAAAGTCTTCCGTTACAATCTGCCGGACGATTTCCTGCGAGCAACGGGTAGTCCAGCCGATATACTAGTTGTCTCGAGTTGCGATTAGACATTTTTAAGCTACAAGGAAGCTGAATTATTTAGACAAAACACCGACTTACGATGCCTGCTTTTTTAGTGCTCGAAAGGAATATTTACAGAATATATCGTCGAACAATGGAACGAAGGGAAGGAAAAGTCTTCCGTTACAATTTGCTGGACGATTTCCTGCGAGCTACGGGGAGTCCAGCTGCGTTAACCCGTACGCAATCTCGTTAACATTCCGCGCGACCATTTGTCGGTAGCGTATTTTCGAAACACGCGTTAAACTGCTCGGAACGAGCGCGATACGCGAAGGTATCGGGAAGTTAACAAGAGAAGACATTACCTTTGGTAAATTCTTGTCGGATGAGGTAGAGAGAAAGAGAGAGAGATAGCAACGTGACTGTTCGCGGTTCGCCCAGCTGCCAAAAGCCGTGTATAAATAGTCCGACTGACAAAAACAAGTCGGCGCGTCGTGTTGCATGGACAGAAAAGTTTTGAATGGTCCCGCGCGAGCTTCGAACCGCGCCCGATTCGCGAGAACCGGATCGGTTTCCCAACTGGAACGATTTCGCAAGCGGTGCACATGAATAGAATCTTCCTCGATTCGCTCTAGCACGGAGTTCTACGAGAGAATGCGCACGGTTGTGCATACGAACGCCTATCAAGCACCGTTTCTACCGACGCGCTGCTTCTTTTCCGTTGCTGTACGCAAGCTCGATCGATGTTCGCGCGAGGATGAAACAATGTTTTTCCGTGTCTCGATGCAGATACATACACAACGAATCGCTGCTAACAGATTTTTCGACCCTCGGGTTTTCCAGGAAAAATCGCGAACCCCGGCACTGATTTTCTCGCGGGATTAGCGTAAAAACAAGGTCGCGGCAGAGAATACAGGAATATTTCAACTATGAATTTGCTTTACGGTTCTCGGAAGAAAACTTGCTACGCGATCGTCTTCTAAAGTACGCGTACACAATTGAGTAATTGAAATGCGCGTCTCGCGATCAATCGACTCGCTATAATTTTCCGGCGTGGGCAAAGTTAGGTCGCCGGTCGTTAGGAATTTCGAGCTAGAAACGAACGGGTTTCTCGAAAATGCGTCGTACTATCGGCGTTCGAGGACAGGAAAGTTCGTATCGAGCGTCGACGTCGTCGTTATTGGGAACAGGCCGATGACAAACTCGCCGGAGAGAGCCCGGTAATTAATGAACACGATACTAATACCGTGGAACGGGAGTTCTCTAAGCGAGAATTTTACGAAACACGAAGACTACGTTGCGAATTAATTGCGTGGAAACGGGCAAACGGCTGGAAAATCCCGGAAAACGCGAACAATACGGCGCAGAAACACTTCGGCAAATTTGGACGTAGAAGAACGGGAGGAGATTTCGAGGTTAAATTCTCACGCGGATCGCGGGCGAAGTGCTATCGTACAATTTACCTGGTGGATCGTCGCTGATGCAGCCGGCGCTGCCGCCGGAAGTATGATTAACCAGCAACGGGGAATCGCAACGGCAAGCGTGAAACGATCACGAAATCGTCGTCGCAGGCCATTTTTCCTTCGAATATCTTGTCGCGATGCCGTACACCGCAATAGCGTGTTTACATCACGCCGGCGAAACTACGACTCATGCCCGAACTCGATCGACCGATTACAGAGATCGCGTCGACCTTCCCAGGTGACGTCGCAGAAACAATATCAGAGCGTCGCAGCGTCGGAGCGTCGGAGTGGGACGCGAGAAGGGAGTTTTGCGTATTACGTATTGCGTAGCCCGGGAAGGTTGTCTCCGTGATACGCAACCGAATTCTTTTTTTGCCACAAATTCCTTCGTCGTTCGTAGCGGGGACACGTATGTCGGCTCTATCGATTAGACGAAGACGAACGCTCGGTGAGCGAAGGCGCGTAGTGCTGTGGTGCGGGGTGCAAGACATTTTGGGTGCAGCATAATCGCGTTTGGAACAACGGAAACCGCTCCCAACGCCGAATAGCGGCCTCCACTCGATGAACGATCAATATTTTCGAAATTGAACAGGTTCGTCCGGGGGGGGGGGGGGGGCAATCAACCCCCGCGGCCGGGTCGCGCGGCTGGGGACACTCCGCCGTCGGCGTTCGAATTGTTCGACGAGTGTATAACAACGCGTCGATGACTATCGAAATTAAAAAATT